GATAACTTATTTCCCGGGAAACCTCCATTTCACATGGAGGACTAGCATCGACTGGCAGTATTTGCCCAGTCAATGTGGAGGGCGGTAGGTGAGATGTCGATGGAGGTCAGCTGAACTGAGCCTCGAAATGTTCAGCCCATCGATCAAGACGGCGTTGTTAATCGTGAATCAGTGTGCCATCGGATTCCTAATTACCTCACTTAGGCCTATTTTCCTGGGACCCGTACTCCTAATTAGACGGAAAAGATTGCGACTATTGCCAATAGCCCCAGCCCTCTCCAGCTCTCTACACTTCCCTATCCACCACTCCTAGCTTTCATTCCTCAGGCTTTTGATGGGCTAGCGTTTGAGGGATTTGCGCGCTGTCATTCGGCATCGAGAGGAAGGGTTCTGCGAGTGTCCAGCAGGTCAGCTGAGGTTGATGAGTTCCTTCGTTCGTGTTTTGACTCTCGCCAGGGCTCGACGTTGTTTTTATCGAACTTCGCAAAGCTTCCTTGATTTGTCTCCAGTGTTCATTGAGTCCTTCGGCTGGTGATTGTGCTGATAGGGAATTCAAGAGTTCTGCTTCGAAGGCCGATTCGCAGCAATCGCTTACGTTTCACGTTGTACCTTAGATATCCGCTTTCGGTGGCTTTATGAGATTTGTTTGCCAGGCGTAAGGAGAATTTGGCTTGTAGCAAAGCGTGATCCATATCCACAAGCGTGGACCAATAAGAATGGCAGTTTTCAATCGACCCTCTCCAGCGGTAACTGATAGCGATGTGGTTGATTTGGATCCCGCACTGTGAAGAGGTTGGGGATTTCCTTGTAAGGCGGTATCGTTGCTTGTGCGAGAAGTTCGTGCTTGACAGTAACAGTAGAAATATATTAGACGGCGATTGTTTCTGTGATGCAAGATGGTTCATCGAAGCGTTACTGCAGTCGGTCTGAAAACAATCATCTGAATTGTATAAGAACTTTGATTCAATAGAGAGTATTGTGTTGGTTAAGCAGTTGTAAATTCAACCAAATAAATAGTACGAAGGGAAAGCAGCAAAAGCGGTGCGGGATGGGTTTGACCCTTAATGATGCAAAATCCAAACGAACACCAATGTTTATGTAGATGGCGTGAATGGCAACGCGTGATAGGGAGAAGTGGCCATTTACTCCGAATCTTATATGAGCAAAAATGATTTATATTGCACAAGGATCGGTTGACTAAATTTCAAGGGGGCAGGACTTCGATATGCACA